GGGGGGAAAAAGAATGGGGCCTTATGATTAGCATGTATAATGAGTGCGGGGGCATCAGGAGGGATGTGCAACATAGAGAATTCAAATAGTAATTCTACAGCATCTTACTATGCCAACGGAGAGTGACTGTAATGGGATTTTTAGGGGGGACTCGGTGAAGGGAGAAGTCTAGTAAACATAATGTTCTTTATGTAACTGTAGATTAATGATAAAAAAAGGAATAAAAAAAAACAATGAGTTTAGAGGAAGGCCTGCAGGCCACTTCATTTGGATCTGAACCACCTTTGCTGCTTAAGGGTAAGCTCACCACTATCCCTTCAAGACAGACTACCAGGAGGACTACCAAACAAGGGACACAAAGTTTGCCATGTCAGGCTCTACCAAACTGTGGAGTCCATTCTTCAGAGCAGCTGATGAAGATGAGAAGCCAAAGCCAAGCTCATGAGTAAAGGAAGTGCATCTTCCTTTGCTTGGGGTAAAGGGCTCACTGGTTTCAGATAGCAGGTGGATTTCCTCAGAGAGCAGTGGGTTGCTAATTCCACTCAGAGCAAGCACCAGTAGCTGCTTCCAAAAGCAGCTAGTTTGGGACTACCAGCAGGTTTAAGAACAGGGTATAAGTAAACACCAGTTCTCAGCTCTGATCACTGCACACCCACACCACTATCACCAACCAGTATTTCAACCAGTACAACTTTTCACAGGTCTCTGAATCTGCCAGGAAACTTTGGTGCCTTCACCTGTGCTATTTCTTCTTTGTTGAATGCCTTTCTTGACACCCTGTCCATAATACAAGACCTAGCCTAAAGATTGCCTCCTCTCCAGATCTGTTCTCAGGCACTCTCCAGCCATCATCCCACCTATCGTATCCTCGTCAAAGTACCAAAACATTCCTCTTGTTCAATGACAACAGCATCATATAACAACTTCCTCAGCTCTCTGTCGGCAGAAGCTGCTCTGAGGTATCACCACAAACACAAGTAAAGTTTAAATGACTGGAAATAAACTAGGGCCTGCAGATGTTTGTAGCCTAATCCAATCAGAGCTATAGCTGTTTTGATTTGCCTTAATTCCAGAAAAGACATGGAATTGGGACTGGTCACCTTTCTTCTGAATATTAGTTTCAGAACGGCAAGCCTGGGGTCTGTATTCCAGAAGAAAGGACAAGTTTCAGAGGAGAGTCAGGGACTCCTCAGCACAGGGCCTACGTCTAAACTCAGAGTTCCATATTCAAAGCCCAGATTAGGACTCGAGCTATGGCCAAAGGGTAGGGAACCCGGGCCAGTCCAGGGACACAACAGACCTTGAGGCCAAGACACCAGGGGGAACCTGCGGATTCAGAGAAGGGGCCTCACCTTCAGCCGAGACTCTGAAGGACGAAGCAGAACGGCCTGGCTCTGGGATGGAGAAAGAGTGTACCCCGGGGTCTGTGCTCTTTGTGGAGCACGCTCAGGGATTTACCACTCCTACCCTCACCAACCAGAATGCAGAGCTGGTCCTGAGGGACCAGGCCCTGAACGCGGCCCAGGCCCGCACTGCCCTTTTGCCCGCTCGCCGAAGGCCCACCCTCGCTGTCCCGGCTCACCCACAGCGGGCCGGTCCAGCTTAAGGATGTCCCGCAAGTGCTGCGTGGCGTCCTCGATGTCGATGCTTGCGCAGGAGGCCATGGGCCCAACCGCGAGCGTTCCGTTCGTGCAGCGTTTGCTTCGCTGCTGCAGCGCACTGTCCAGCCGCGCACAGCTCCGCCAGGGCCAGACAGCGGGACGCGGGTCACTACACTCGGTCCCTCCGAAGCCTGTAAACCGCCCCTCACACCGCGTCCCAGTGCCCCGCCAACCCCACCAACCGCCTTCACTTCCGGCCCACAAGAGCCTCGGCTCCCGGAATCCGCGGGGGAAGGAGAAGAAAGGTTCCGGGCTGGGAGCGGAGGCCTCGCCCCTCCCCTTCTGTGTCTCCGCCCCGCTGCGGAGGGGTCCGGGGAAGCTCTGCAGAGCTGAAGCGAAGGAAATGGCCCCATCACAAGCCTTACTCACTTCACGATATCCCACCCGGCCCCAAGACCACCCCCGGGGCATGAACTCACTATGGGTCTATGATCAGTCAACCCCACCACCCAGGTTGGGGTACCTCAAGAACAAGATAAATTGGCAGGGATCTCAATTTCCCCTTGGGAAATGGGTCAGTGTAAACCGAGGCCGGATTTCCGTGAAGTCATATGGCCCAGGAAATTGCAAGGGCAGTGGATATGGTACCTTCACAAACATTAATTACCTCAGGTGTCCCAGCATACCATTGCTGGGCCCAGCACTCTCAGGCCAGAAAAAAGAAACCAGTTTACAAACACCTCTTTATTGCAGACATTTCAGGCACAGGTACATGGAAGAAGCTGTATTGCAGATTTTATACAGGGTGGTTTAAGAGGCAGCAGGTATCTACCTCTTTCCCCATCCCCCAACCCCCAAATACACAGCAACCCAGAAATCAGTCCCACTGAAATCTCCTGAGTATACTGTCCTCAAACAGCACATCATACAGCCCTGTGCCCAGCGTAGCCAGGCAACCTGTGTGGAAGTCCTTGGCCTCCATCCATTGTACAGGAGTAAAAGGGAAGGGAGGAGTGCAGGTCAGACATAGCTGTGGTCCCCTCACCAATCCTAAAACCCTAATGGACCACCAGCCCCAGTCCTGGGCTTGGCTCTGGCCTGCAGCTGCTACCTTGCCACCATGTTTATACCACCAGAAGTCTCAGGCTAGATCTGCACTGGGCAAAGCCTCTAATCCCCCAAACTAAGAAACTGCTTCAGCAGCGAAGACTTCCTGGGAATTGAAGACAGTGTGAATGTGTGTGTTGATAAGGGAATAGGAGGTCTACAAATGCTTTGTAAAGGTCTGAGGCGTGAGAAATCCTAGAGCACAACTCCCTCAAACTCAAGTTCAGATTGCCTTCTTTCACAGCTCTAAATCTATATTCCAACTGAGCCTGGCTCTGGGCATTGGAGGTTGGCTGTTCTGGCCACTTCACTTTGGGCAATGGTATCTGCAGTAGATGGTACAGGATTGGAGCTGCCCTCTGTTTGGCCTGGGGTTTGTGGGGGCACCCTGGATGTGATCCTGACCATTTTGGGGATAGAACAGGTGCCTCTCCTTCAAACCTCTCTGCTCATACTTGGTCTTGCTGGGCCCTCAGTCCAAAGGGCCTGATGCTGATGGACCTTTTTGCCAAGACCTCTCTGTCTTCAACAGGAATTCTGGACCATCTCTCCTGTTATTAGAACCATGACTCTATGCATTGTAGAGGTCACGGAAGATGTCAGAACTGACTACAGAGGCTTCAATGCAAGGGAAACTTCAGGTGAGACCTGAGTCAGTTCTGTCTGCAGCTCACTTTCCTAAGACCAGGAGGGCTGGGAGGGGAACACTATGCCCCACAGGGTTTCTGAGAGGCTAGCTGGGAGTGCTGCTTCACAAGTTTTCTCCTTGCAACAGGTATTGCTGAGCTGGAGTAGAGGTGGGAGCATGAGACACAAGAGAGCCAATGGGGAAGGGTAGTTATCAATGCCCAGCCATCTATTAAACTAATTAAAACAATTTAAACTGTTAAGAAAATTTTTGTGGTTTTATTGTATCATGAGGCATTGAAACATCTGAACAAATCAATATTTGGGTGGTGAGGCAGCTGCTTTCTCCTTCACTTCTTTGGGTTACTAGAGCAACTTGTCAGTAGATTAAAAAAAAAAAAAAAGACAACCTTTTGCATTACTTAAGTCTTTCCAAGGCATGCGCTGGTACAACACAAACTTCTCCTGCCAGATGCAGCTAGTCTAGTATCCAAACATCATGCACAACACCTCGGTAGCAGCAGCGCACTGCGCCCACTCCCACCGTGGCCCTGCTTGTTTGTGTATGATATTTGGAGCATCTGGAGGAGTGTGAATAGTACTGGGAAGAGGAGGGAGGAGGAAACAGCATGAGTGCCTGGCTAGGAGGAGGTCAGCCAAAGTTGTGCAGGGCAAGCCTGAACATGTCATTGGTGCAAACCCAAGCATCGTTGATGTTCTTTAATAGGAACATCTGGTGGAACCCCATGATGGGGTCTTCATCAGCCTGTGAGGAGAGAGAAAATGACTCAGTTAGAGGGCCAAGGAAAAGCAAAGTAGTTCAGTGGTAAGCAAATAAGAGAAAGCATGCTGACTCTGGGATCAGACCCTACTGTCTTGGACCTGAACCCCAGTAGCCACAGGGTATTTGTGAATGTGAACTGATATGTGTGAAACACTGCACTGAGCTCACACTGCTGTGTGCATTTATATTGCAGAACAATACACCAATTAGCTCCAACAGAGCAAAGAACAAACCTGCCTCTGAGCCCATGTCTCTGGGTACAAGGCATCAATTTGAGAGTTCTGTAGTGCTCACCACGTAACTTACAGTATCTAAAAATTCAACAATCTTAGTGTCTGATTACACTAGTTAGTTTAATCAGGAGAAGCTAACATTGACTGTGTCAAAGTACATGAGAGAAGGCTCAACACTGACTGTGTTCACACTGTGATCAGAGTTCACACTGTGATCACAGCTCTATAGGGCAAAAGCAAAGCACTGCCGTCAGGTGTTCTGTTTCCTGTATAACATAACATTTGCAATGAAAAAAGAAAGGCAAGAGGCTCCAGCCAAACAGCAGAACAGGATGAGGTCTAGCTGAGGTAGAGCCCAGCTAACCAGCACTGTCTTTGCATTACTAGTTTTTCTGGGAATTATTGTCAGCAAGGAGGCAAATCAGACTTTCAGGGACTCCAAACTGAAAAGAAACAGCAGAAGAACCTGAAGCCAGGTGGGAAGGGACTCTGTTTACTGACGCCAGCAAGGGGAAGTGGGCACTGAGCCCCCTGGAGAGACCTCCTCACTCCCAAGGGCCTATTTGAGGGCCTTGGATAGGCAGGAAAAACTGACAGGAAAATCCAGGCCAGGAAGGCAGGTCCCCCTGGGTCTACTGCAAAGGCCTCCCTCCAGCCTCAGATTGGCTCAGGAATCCCCACCCAACCTAGGGAGAAAAAAGGCATGTGGGCCTCTTATTTCTGAATCCCCGCCATGACATAGGCCCAGGAAGCTGGGACCTGGACAAGGAACAGCTATTTTGTCTTGCTTTGGGAAGGAGAAGAGGCTTTCTGGAAACCAAGAAACTGGCTTCAGTCTGCCAGAGGACAACAGGTTGGAGTTCTTGGGAGAGTTCTAGGTGGGCTATGGAGCTGCAGGAAGGTTCTGAAGATAAGTCTTGAGAAGGGAAAGGGAAAATGCAAAGAGAAGCAGGAGTTCCAGGAATCTGCTTTGCTCAGCAGGTAGAGGAGCCAGAAGCCAACTTGAAGAGTTGGCAGCACAGATTCCAGTAGGGGACTGCTACTCAACACCCAGCTGGCCCATCCAGGGTCAGCTGCCAGCAGAAGGTCCACCTACACCTCAGGGCAGTTCAAAGGCCCAGGGCTTGGCACCACAGCCCCTATACCTCTTGTCCTGTTTCCAAAAAAGCTCTCCAGTAGAACTTTCTGCAATAACTGCAATGTTCTATGTTGAAGCTGTCCAGTAAGCAGCCACAAGTGACTATGAGCACTTGAAACATGGCTAGTACAACTGATGAACTACATTTTAATTAGTGTAATTAAAAAAATCACCACTTGTGGCTGTTGGCTACTTTACTGAATTATGAAGCTGTAGACGGTCATATTGTCTGAGTATCCCTTGATAAGCAGGTCACATCACAGGGAAGGCAGGGGCCCAGGGTTCTCTGCCTACCCTGCTCACTCCTCCCTAGCAGCACTATTACCTTGAGTTGGCCCACAACCATGCTGATGATGCAGCTATCTGGTGTGGGCTGATGGTCCTGTGCCGTGATGCTGTGCTGGATTTTCTGGAATGGAAGGCTCTGTAAGAGAAAGAGTGGGCAGTGGGCTGTGGCCAGTGCGGCGGGGAAGGAGCTGCCTGCAGCCAGCCCTCACCCTTACTTACAGACAACTTCTCCACAATGGCAGCTTTCCCTTGGAATTGTTGTCCTTCCCACGTAAGGCATGATGCATCGATCTGAAAACCAGGAAACCTAGGGTCAGGGCCTCAGAGGAGTTATCTCTAGGTCCTGAAAAGATCCTGGAAAAAGGTCTTAGTTGGGGAAATGAGTCAGAGTGTCAGTTTCCCAGTCTATAACCCTATTAACAACTTCTTTGATTATACCCAATCTTCCCAGAGCCCAGGCTCTGAAAGACTAGCAAAACACAAACTGGTAAGTTCATTTCCTAGATTTTATTCATGAAGTTATGTGCATGAGCCCCATACTGGCCATACGTGGCCAGGGCTCAGCCAAAAACCATCCTGCTGTTTGGTCAATCAACACCCATCCTAGAAAAGCCATGAGAAGTAACCTGGAAACATCTTATGTATGTTCTCCATCATCTCTAAAGCCCAGGATGAGTTCTAAGGTCATGGGGTCAGGGAGGGATGGAGGCTGACAAGGCTTCCCAAGAAGCTTGGGACCGGACCCTCCCTTCCATCAACATATAACTTCCTAGCTTCGCCCTCTCCACTCCACAGCCTTCTGGGCAGAACTCAAAAGTACCTCCGCTGCTTACCAGCTATGTATGACATTAGGCAAGTTACTTATTTTTCTGAGTCTGTTTCAAGATCTTTAAAGAGGACACGTGCAAAAGATTATGTGAAATGATATACATAAAGTGCTCTTTTAGAACCTTGCTAACTAACTCTCTTCTCCGGGTCAGACCTGGTTTAATAGATTTTAAGTAGCAATGAGGCAGAAGTACCAGGTTCCGAGAGTCGGATCAGTTCAAATTTTTAAAAAATTCTCTATCTATGATAATGACAATCAAGTTAATACCTGTGCTGGATTTGGCTTTCCACTACTAAGATCCTTTTCTATTCTTCAAAATTTCAGAACCGACACTAACTTTTTGGAAGGAGATACGGAGCTTGCCCACAGCTTGGTCAGGCTCTGAGGCTATGCCAAATGGATGACTCCTATCACTTCCATCCTGGGCAAACCTAAGCATGGTCTTGTCAATCACATTTCTCAAACTGGGTCTGGGGCAGGGATCAAATATAAGTAGTTCTTAGTGTATGTGAACATCATTAAACTAGCAGCAAGCAGTGCCTGCAAAAAGGATTTCTCAAAAACACACAGCCTCCCTGGGCTAACCCATTTGTTTTCCACGAAGCTGGACCCAAAACCTGGAGGAGTGCTCAGCTTTGCATTAATTATGCTCACAGTTGCTGCCTCCAGAGGGCACCATAAGCCTTAGCCTTTGCCTGCTGCTGCCCAATATGGAACAAAGGCACTGCCAGCACCAAAGGCTGGCAAGTGAACAACACCCTGCCCAGGACTCCGGGATCTCCACTCCTACAGAGGACGACACAAGGCAAAATGTAGACTGTAAGATAAATTCTAGCCAAAATAAGCAGGCGAAGAGAGGCAACAAAGGGCCAGGTAGTTCATTTGAACGCAAATTCCCGGGTGATGTTCTGTGGTCTGGCTATCACAGGCTGGGGAAGTCACAGTCAGCAAGGCAGGCGGTGAGTTTTTAAAGAAGGTAGGGGGAGGCAGAGCTTAGATTTACAGCGATGCGAGGATTGGCTAGATTGAAGCACATTTTTCAGGTTGGGAGGGGGCAGCAGCCGGGGACTTTGACACGTCATCAGTGTCTGACGTGCTCCCCCCTCCCCCCAGTGCCTTCAACCTTACATAGACCAGGTAGCTGGGCCAGGCCTTAGCCCCCTGTCCCATGGACAGGAGCTAAGATAGAAGGGTGCAGCCAAATCCAGTAAGGGCTGCCACAACTTGTGAAATGGACACACTGGCCCAGCATCTGAGTATCCCCTGGGGTCCTATTACAGCCCTAGAGCTGGAGACTTACATAAATTGCGCCTAGTTGAGTTCTGTCATTATCAAATAACTGGTAGTAATGTTGAATGAAGCTGGATCCAATCTGCTCCCAAATTGGCTTGTCTCCCATTCTGGAGTGTCACCCGGCCTCCTTGAGACCTGCAAGACAAGCAAGACAGGGAGGGGAGCGTTTGTACCTTGGGAACAAGAGGAAACCAGCTGTTCTCATTTCACTGACCTCTACCTCTCCCTGGCCTCCTCGAGCAGGGTGTCCTTTGCTGAGGTCTTTTCTCCCACGAACAAGGAAAGGCCATGGGGAATGGGTAGGAGACCCCTCCCAATACAAAGCAGTACACCCAGAAGTGGACCAGACCCAGCCCTTCCTTTGAGGAGCTTTGGTCAATGCAACAGATGGGTGCCAGTTTGTGGAACGCATGGGATAGGTGCTGAGGGTGGAGCTAGGACAAAGGAAGGTCAATCCCAATGCCCAGTGGGGGGATAGGCTTTTAAGGAGGAGCTAAGCACTCTCCTTATATCTTTTTATTTAATCCTCTCAACAACCTGCAAGGCCAGAGTCACCCTGTTCTTCCCACCCTGCAGTCAGAACTACTAATGTCTCTCTGTAGCGTGCTTTCTATTGCTGCCCCCAGGCTCCCTCCCTCCTGGTCCTGGCAGGACTTATCATTCAGTCCCTCAACACTGCCCCAGGGCTTTACTGGCAGGTGGAGGAAGATCCAATGAGATTGGGGGGACGTGGCTCAAGACACCACTTGCAACAAAAATAGCAAGTGATCCCCCAACCTTAGTCTTAAGGAGGCAGTTTGACACCTTCTCTGAGGCCAGGTGACATCTCTTCATTTTTTCATCAATGGGGGTTACCTCTACTCACTTCAGAGCTGGGGACATGAGTCAGAGGATCACAGAACAGTAACTGAGGGGTGTTGGGAGGGGATATGGAGGCTGAGGGGAAACATGTCATCTCTTCACATCACCCTTCCCAGGCTACAGACATCCCAGCCCCAAGATGAGAACCACGCTGGCTTTGCCAGGCCCCTCCTAAGCAGGGAAGCCCACATCTCACTGCAGGATCCCATGTCGGCAGACCTGTGTGTTGTTTTGTAGTTGTCTCTGACTAAAGGAGCCCAGACCCCTCTCCTGATAACAGGACTCTGAACCAAAGCTGTGAAGGGGTAGATTCCACTTGGGGCAGAAAACCATTAGTAGTGGTGGGATCTGATGGAAGTCACTGCCTTTGTGGAACCCTGATAGCCAATGGCTTTGAAGCCTCACTAAGGAAATCTGTTAAAGCCCTTTAAACTTGTTAAATGTTCATTTGCTTGAGGTCCCTCTGACCTCACCCAAGGCCAGAGGAACTAGTGAGAAGGGAAAGTATAGGAGGGCAGGGGCTTATCCCCATCCAGCCAATCTCCCAGCCTGTAACCAACACTCCAGCCAATGAGGGGTCAGGAAGCTGAGCCAGCTTTATTTTAGGTTGTCCCCTAGGAGGAGGTGGAACTAAAAATAACAGCTTAGTACTGGGATGACTAAGAAATGTCCAGGAAAGTCTAAAACAAGCAGAAGAGAAAGCTTGGACCTGGCCACACCTGCTACAAAGGAGTACAAGGTATGTCCCAGTTCATACTCGGCCAAGAAACAAATCAACAAGTGGGAAAAGCATAGGATCAACAGCTAGTCTTAGCTGCCATCTTGGTCACATTTCCAAAGGGTCAGACTGTGGCTGTATGCACACACAAACCTAGATAACCAGAGGCAGGGCACAACCCCGCATCCTGCATATCTGTACCTTCCACCCTAGTGCTCACTATGCTTGGCTCATTCACTGTGGCCTGACCCCATGGCATCTTACCCCTAGACACCCTGCCCAGCCCCCAGAAGCTCTGGGGCAGGGGGAAAGCAGGAGTGGATGAGGGCCATCTCTCACTCTCCTGACACCCACAAGGTTGGATAGCCCTCAGGGAAGATCTTGCAGAAAAAGTATACCAATCAGAAGAAACTGTATACGTAAATGTCTAGAGCATGAAAAGAGATACGGGCAGGAAACCAGGAAGCTGATGATGGAGGACAAGGGGAAATAAGGCTAGAAGCTGATCCAAAGACAAGAAAAGTGGCACCATGTGGTGGGATGATGAGGTGGAGGAAGCATGGGGGTGTTTTTTCATTTTTCAACATTGTTCTTGAAAGTGTGATTACTTGCTCATACAAAAACTACTTTTGGGCAGAAGTAGTAGTGGAGTGAAGATGATGGAGGGATAAAGGGACAAACGAGCCCTTTGGTCAGGTGGGTGGGGCAGGGCTGAGTGAACTTTCCTGAGGAACAGAACTGCTCAGGGACTCCCAGAAGGTGTGAGAATGAACCTCCAAAACTATGTGGACTGAGACCTTTGATTTAAAGATGCCAAGTGGGATCCCTGAAGCCAACACCAACCTTGTTCAAGGCCTGCTTTGACCCTGATGTGTTTATTTCCAGGTAGTGATCACAGTAGGCATGTAGTCAGATTCTACTGTCATTCCACTTTACAGGTAGGAAAACTGAGGTTCAGCTATGTAGGGAGTATTAACCCATGCTCAGTCACTACATCAGTGCTGATACTAGGTCCTCGTAGAGGCCAGTGCTTTCTTTCTAACTTTACATCCCTGAGCTCTATAAGCCACACAGCTGGCTATGTCCCTCCCCTACAATATCCTCACCTTTAGGTTAAATGTCAAACTCCAGAAGCTCCATAGGTGGGCATCTACATCTATCCCAGCCTCCTATCCATTCTCTCCTACTTCCATCCAACTCCATAAACACACCAGAACTTGCTGAGTGCTTGCTCTTTGTGTTTTTTGCACAGGTGAGCCCCCTCACTGGGATGCTCTTCCCTCTCCATCTTCTGTCTGGTCAGTTTCCACTCTTCCCTCAAGTCACTGTTCAGGCCTCACCTATTTGGTCCTCCTTCCCAGACTCAAATGTTGACCCCAACTCCATGTACAAAACCAAATCAATACACCCAGGGTCCACTCCTCTACATAAATACTGTGGCTCTGGGCTGTGAGGGTTACAACGTGGTTCTCACAGCACCCCAATTCCCCTCCCCCCACCTCCCAGCACAGTGTGGCCAGCAGACAACAGGATTTAAAGTTTGACTCCAAATCTGCCACAAAGATTTCAACTCATGGCTGAGAGGCAGGGTGCGGAGTCCCCTCCCATCCCCATGCAACACAGAGGAGGAGTCTGGGCCAGGCTGGGAGGATATTCCCCAGATGGCAAGCAAGCCCTGAATTGTTTCTAATATATTTATGGTGGAAAGAACAGTCTGGAAAGAAACAAAATGTCAAGGCTCAGAGGTGGCCTCACACCAGATTGGCGACTGACCTTCATGATGGCTTCTCCTACAGCTCTTCCAAGAAGGCCGATGACCACGCCATCTCCTGCTTCACCCCAACAGTCCGCAGGCTGGCTGAGGCCAGGCTCCTCGAGGACCAGAAATGACCTCGATGACCTCTTGCCCACTGAGCATCAGACTTCACTGACCCTTAGGTCTCTGTGGGTGCAAAGACCCTCTAAGAATGTCTCAAATACTGTGGCCCTTTCCCAACTAATTTGCACAGAGGCAGCAATGCCCCCGCTTTGTGAATAATTTTGGGTTGTTCATACTCCCTGAGGTTCAGCCACAGACCCCAGGTTAAAACCTCCAGCCCAGAAGATCCCATTAGGCAACAGAAAAACTAGGGACGAAACTTGAAATAGCAGCGTCTGGCTGGTAACATCTCATTTTCACTAGCTAATGTTAGGTGCAGAAATGTTCTAAGGGCTTTACATGCATTTGTTCCTAACACTCTGTGAGTCAACTCCCATGTAGAGATGAGCAAAATGAAGTTTAGCAAGGTTACCTAACTTGCTCAAGGTCCTACGCCTAATAGATCCTGGCCTAGTTGGACCCGAGAAGAGGAGGAGCAGGAGAAAATGGGGAAGAGGATACCACTAACTCCAGACTGAAATACAGGAAGATGCTCACGTTTGAGGACCCACCATCACCAAGGCCCACAGGGGATGCCAGCAGATGTGCCAGGCTTGTAGTGGGAGCCCTGAAATCCACACCAACTGTGGCCATTACCCTCACAACTAGTCTGCCAACCCCCAAATAGCATTGAAGCACAGAAGCTGGGAATGACTACTCCAAGAGGTGGGAATTAGTCACCTTGGCTTCAACCTCTTAGGCCCAGAACACAGGCATGTACTGCAGGGAGAGGAGGAATACGGTGGGTGGCAACCAGAAAGGAAGACACTGAAGGGGCCCTCCTTCAGAAACTGCCCTTCTGATTTCATGTTCTCAGGGGAGCTATGTATCCTGCCCTATGGACCTCCAGTGACTTCCCTTCCCATTCTTCATTGACAGTATCTCTCAACCACTTATTCTGCCTTTAAGGACTGGGTAATGTGCCCTCCTGGCTGTTCAACCCTGTCTCCTGTCACCCCCTCCTCTGCAGCTACTCTGGGTGTTTTCATGTTTCTGGAACATGCTGAGTCTGTACTTACCCAGGGGCTTTGCAACTGTTGATTCCTCTACCTGGATCACTCTTCTCCTTAGATCTTCCTGTGTCTGGCTCCTGTCACATATGTGTCAGCTCAAATGTCACCTCCTCAGACACCTTCCCTGACCATTCAATCTAAAGTAGCTAGCCAGTGACTCATTGCACCACCCTGGATTGCTTTCTTAGTACTTATCACTGCAAAAGACTGTCACGCTTACATATTTGTTTAGGAGCTGTCTCCCTGACCTGGGTATCCCTGTTTCCATGGTGTCTAAACCAGCCCTCGGAAGCTCTTTGTTGTATATGTCCATGAACATGCAGGGGCCTGGGCTGAGAAGCCAGCCTTTTTCTCTAGAGGAGGAGTGAGTTCTGGGCAAAATCTGTTCAATTTAAGTGGCCAAATGACCCACTTCTCTACCCATACTTCTATCCAAGTTGTCAGTAAACAGTCCTTTATTGTCTACCCAGCCATCTGTCTGTCTGAAGGTGTGGCAAGTGGTGTTTGGCCCCAATCCCTTCTCTTACTCCTAAAGTTCTGGTCACCTGAGGAGCAGCAGTAGCTGAATTGCTATTACGACTAGACCCTCAAAGGCCTGGCCTCTAGCCTGCTCTACCTCTCCCTCGTGGTGTGACACATTGACCCTGTCTCCTCATCAGTAGTTGTGGGAAGGTTAGGGTAATCAACTGAGGGTTTAAAGCAGGACGCAGATGTAAGAAGCCATTGTCCTGTCCTAGGTGAACACTGGGCCAAGAGCTAGAAAGACGGTGGGTACCTCGGCCTCTTGCAGGGTCACCATACCATGGAGCAGTCTCGACCCTGGATGGGCAACTGCCTAGTTCCCTCACCCCTGCCACAACTCTGAAGAGAAATCAGACAAGGTCTGGTGTCCGGATGGCTACCAGGACAGAACTCTTTCCTGGGGCAGACCTGAGGTCTAGGTACCCCCAGCACTCTGAGGGCCTTTTCTTCCTCTTCTGCATGGAGGGAGGGCTCCAGAGCCTTCTGGCTGCCCTGGTTAGACCAGAAACTAAATCCTGAGACTTGCATTCTGGTCTCTTTACTCTGTACTTATTCAGTTCCCATGAATAAGTAGCCACTTTCCTAGGTGGCTCAGAGATCTCTGGGGCCCCAGTCCTAGACATACCCATCCACAGCCCCTGGCCATGAACTTGCTGGTCAGCTACACATGGACTTGGCTCCCTAAGTGACCACCCCTGTGGTCTGCCACCACCATGCCTAGCCAAAACTGCCATGACATTCTGAGACTGAGATGAGCAGGGGAATAAAGGAATGAACACGGAGTCCCCAGGTGGTGGCAGGAATGTCTCCTGTAAGCCAAACAGTTATATGTGTTTTCTCCTTTGAGCCTCACAGCCCTGTAAAGTTGGTATGATTATCATCGTGTAGATGAGGAAACTAAAAACTCCAAGAGGGTAAGAAAGAATTCAAGACTACACAAGGCCACCCCACCGGCACAGCCAGCATTAAAATGTCCATGACGCTGACCTGGACTGTAACAGTTGAGAGCTGATGTCACGTGGCAGAAAGCACATAGGTGACAAAATAAGGCAATGAAGAATGGAACTCAAGCTTTTTCTTCCCTTCACAGATCAGCAAGTTCTATGCTCCTTAGGACAAAAAGCCCTTGAGTACACTCAACCCGTCAAAGCAGGTTCAGACCACAGAGACAACTAAGAACTTGACGTTGCCTGGGCCTGAAACCACGTCTGCAGGGGAACCAATGTCTCTACACACTGACATCCTTCCAGGGGGCAGCAGTTTCTGCCCTGATGAGACCCAGGGGCTCCAATGGAGTATCTGAGGTTTTAAGAAACAAACATTCCAGAATTCCCCCAGTTTACTGATGTAAACAGCCTTAGTTTCCAGGCACCTGGGACACACCCGTCTTATGAGGGGGATTTCTCCTCCAGAGTAGTCCCCTCTCCAGACTGGGGCTTAAAGAGTTGGCACACAGCAGGTACCAGGAACAAATAATAACAAGTAAGGAGTGAGAGGAGGTTCCTGGCCATTGCAGGTGAGGTGGCAGTGGGAACCCTGGAGCCAGTGAGCAGGGTCACCACTGGCCCTCTTGTGTCTCTCTTCCCTGGCCACTAAAGTATGTCCCCAGTCACAGGCAGACCTGAACAAAGGATTCTTCCAAGGAAGACACATTCCAGCTGATCGGGTGAGAAGACCCAGTGGCCAGGATGTTCACCAGAATGATGCTATCACATGGGCCTGAAAGCCACTCCAGGGATAACCCACATACTGTCACCTCCCTTAGGGAGGGAGCCAAGAATTCCTACCACATATGGTCAAAGCAAGAGAATCACAGAATCTTAAAGCTGGGGAAGGAGTAGCTAACTCAAACACAACTCCAAATACACAAACACCCTCAAATGGCCCATCAGAAAAAATTAAACTTAAACAAATAAAACAAAACCAAAAACCCATCAGGAGGTTCAGCTCAACCCCAGCTGTGGATATCCTGCCCAACTTGGAATGTCCATCCTGTGGAAAACTCTGAAAGGACTATTCCCTTTCAGCTCTGGGAGGGTGCTTCTGTGTCTCACTGTAGGAAGATGTCCTGATAGTTAACACTCCAGGAGCAGTGGGCAATTGAAACTTAAAAGGGTTTCAGTGAAAAGGGGCAGAAGCCACAAATCCAGACTCCAGGCAGGCGATGGGAAGAACACAGACCACAAAATGCTGGTGAGACTCCCAGGCACTGAGGTAGCACCCAGCAGAGACTTCCTGGAGGACACAGGAGGGGCAGGCTATAGAAGACAGCAGCTAGACTCAATAGCCATAGCAATTTGGAGTGATGACAGCCTTGCTCAAGGAACTCTGGACCTTCTTGGACCCACCATCCAGAGGTATACCTTGCTCTGTGGTTCCTGCCAGGCACATTTCCTCTGCAGTTCTCTAATTATTCAGAAGCCCCCCTCTCTATGCAGGGCCAAGAACTCTTATAGGTCCCTTCAACTTAGCCCTCAGCACATAATAGCAACATTACTCCTGTCTCCCCCACCACTGTGACCTCCTTTGTGCAGCACCAGGGTAGGATTCATTTTTCTGCCTCCAACCACAGCCCAGAGCCTGGTACACAGAAAGGGCCAACAAATGGTTACTGAATAAAACTAATCATTGGTGAGAAAGGAGTAAAAAATAATTTCAAGCAAGACACTAATACCTCAGTAAAGGAATCCTACTATTTTTTTTTATATAAAGTGCCTTCCAGTTTCCCAATTTGAGAATTCTGTCTCTCTCCTAAATCACTGATACCATCCCACCCACGAATTGCAAAGACAGCAGAATAAAGTAAGACATGGCTCAGGGAGGGCAGGAGGGCTCCATGACATTGAAGGACCTAGTTTTGAGCATGGCTGAGAGCCCATACATCCTCACACCCTGCCTCCATGCTTATGCAGCCACATCCCTACTCCTCCATGCCAGACCCCATTTCCCAAGTCAGCCCTACATAAATAGAGGGTATAGACAGATTCTGGAGAACCTCAGGGTTCTCCTCTTATTTCTGAGACACAGATGGCCTGCCAAGTTTCAGAAAGTTCAAGGACTGCTGGGCGTCAGGATGCCTAGCAATGGTTAGTTGACCACCAATAAGTTATAGGAAACTTCTAGAAGGATTAGAATGAAAGGGAATGACCTGCATTTCTTCTACTCCTGAGTATCTTCCAGAAGGAGCACTATCTTTTTGACCTTGAAGAAAACCCTTGTGATCAAGCCACCCAGGGCCTTGGGTGCAAACTAATCCGTAGCCATAAGATTAGCTCACCTGAAATATGTGTCCTATAAAGAATGAATCCAGATAGTTTAGAGAGGGTCTTGAAACAACTATTTCTAGCACTAAAAGATTCCACCACATCAATCCTATGTGTATCCTACGGGTAGTCCCTCCTTGTTGTCCACCTTCCCTGGGAAACCAGTGAAGGGCTAAGAACACAGGAAGGTTAGAACTATTTATAAAATAAGGGCTAGAAGCTATGAATGAAGTTCAGAAGAGCCTTCCTGTGAGGTATTGCTGAATGAGCCTGACTTCCACGTGCCTGTGAGCTGGGATGTGGACTAGGAGGGTTGAATTCAGAGAGAAGGCAGGCCTTGGTGAGAAGATTTGGACAGATCCTTCCTGTCTTCCTTAACCAAGGAGAATGACTAGATAGGGCAGTTCAAATTTCCAGCAGGAAACTTCTAAATTGAGAGCCCAATGACCAGGAAAACATTACCTGGAGAAATACTCAAGGAAAAAAAAAAGTAGGGGTGGTAGCTTTCTGCTTCATGGGCCTGACTCAGTTTTCTTAAGGGACCTGCTTGCTGCTGAGGTCAGGCCAACAGAGAATTAGCTGCTTCTCTAGTTCCTGCAAGAACTGTGGCTCAGAAGAGACACTGGGTCAGAGAAATCAAGGCTTGATAAATCATCTCTTCCCCAAATTCCATAGGCTTCTCTGGACTAGTCCCTTAATTTATCATCAATCAGAAGCACCTTTACAAAGTCTGTCAGAAGACTATATCTAGATACTCCCCTTCTCCCAGAAGTCAAGGGATCCGTGAAGCATCACCAAAGCCCAAAAGTTTCCTGCTTGTTTACAGGTCACATTAACTGTTGTGAAGTGAGCAAGCCAGGGAAGCCTTTCTGAAGCTTTCAGCCAGTTCTGCCACCCAAACTTCAGAAAGACCCCAGTGTCTTAATCTGAGTTCCACAGCTCAAATGTGCACCCCCAGTCACCTTCCCAGTCGCTTCCAGCCCAGCCTTTTGACACTGGTTGGGCTCATGGACCTCAGGCCTGGATTTTACTTACCCCTCCATTAAATCCCACCTTTATCACCACCGTTCTTATGGAAGGAATCCTCCTCTGTGGCAGGTGGGCAGAGGACTCCGGGAGGGGCAGATGTGAGAATTAGGCTGTGCCAGATAAATCTAATAGTGTGTTAGAGGCTCATACATCCAACCTCACCTCCTTAGCTTCCTTCCTCTCTTCCTCCACTAACACGGCCGGCCAACCCTCCCACAGCTGGAGCCTGGTCAGTGATAGAGAGAAGGGTGAGGTCTGAGCCTACTACCAGCCTGAAGCCGCCTCATCGTATCAGGCCAGATCGTCAGACGCCGGCCCGGGCTGAAGTGCCATGTGGAACCTCTCCCGCCCCAGATTCCCTGATACTGCCTTCCACGCAAAGAACCTAAGCCTGAGTTCCACAGAGTGGGGGGTAGTCTTCGTGCATTCCCAGCAAGCAGACAAGTTGGGGACCGTTCACCTATATTCTAGCCTGACTATGGTCGGAAATCGGCTGAGGACCCTAAGCCCAGGCTGCGGCAGGCAGGCGCCCTTACCCAGTGCTGATTCCGGAGCGGGCCGGGTGGCGCTTGCCCATCCCCCGATCCTTCGCAGGCGTGCAGCAGGACACATGGGGCGGGGGTCGGCCCGCTAGCCTGCCTGCAGAGCTTGCAGGACTCCCGCAGGCGGGGCTAGGCCAGATGGGGCGGGGCCCGGAGAGCCCCATCCGGGTGGTCCAGACCAGAGAAAAAGGCAGGGCCCCAGCGAAGTCCGACGCACCCGCAATGGGCAACGTACAGCCCGGATATGCGCCTGGCTGTCTCTGTGTTCCCCCCGGCCGCCGCCTCAGAGGACCGGCGGGAGGCGGAGCCGCGCGCGACACATGGCCCCGGCCCCGCGCGGCTTCGGGTCGCCGGGAGAGGGGGAAGGGAGGGCCGCCCGGGGACTCGCAGCGGAGGCTCCCGGAGGCCTGGAACGCGGCTCCGGCGGCCCAGCCCCCGCCCCGGGGCGCTAGCCCCGACACTCACCCGAGGGGCTGGCACGATGGCGGCAGCGGCGGCGGCAACCCAGCGCGGTCTGCGACCGACTGTCCCTTCCCCCCTGCCTTCCTTCGCACCCCGCTGCACTCTGGGAAACGCAGTCCCCCCGCGCTCCTTTCTGGCATAGGTGCGCCAGAATAAAACTACAGTTCCCGGCACACTAGGCGCCGAGGCCCAGACACGGCCCGCAGCGCTGGGGGTGAGGCTAACTAAGCCAGGGAGGGAGGCTGCCGGGGCGAGCCCCTGAGAATTGTGGTCTAGCGGAAGCCTCTGGAACGCCCGAGGTTGACGCCACGCAAGGGTCAGGATTCAGTTGTCTTCAGGTCCCAGATGGTCCGGCTCTGCTCAGGCTGCACGGTCGTTTGGGCTTGACCCCGCCTCCGAGGGAGCCCCGACTGGTCCCAAGCGGGCCCGACCGCCTCTTTGGGCCCCCGTGCTCTTTCTGCTCGAGAACCTCACTGCACCCACCTTTGGTGCCCTGACTGCCCCCTTAAGGCTCCTACTAGCGGTGCTGTAAGGATAGCTGAGGCGAAATCCATAGCTTGTGCTGTCCCAACATTCCTTTGCCCTGGGCAGGTGCCCTTGGGTCCCAAAGCTGGTTTCGAGCAAGCAAGGCTTTTTTTGGGCGGGAGCCTCAAATGCCCTCAAGTGAGGCTTCGCTGGAGACAAGATTACTAACTACCCTTACACTTGTACAGCTGGGGGTCCCCAAAACATTCTCCTAAGTTTTTCTTGCAGCAGGTGGAGCAGCTAAGAGTTTCATTTTCATTAATGAGGAAAGAGGATTGGCCTACCCAAAAGTTCCTCCATGATTTAAGTTACCAGATTGTCAATAATAATCTCCCTCCTACCCTTAACGCCCATTTTTGTGGTTTCCTGGGCAAGGCAAAGGTTTGCAGTAAGGCCTATTGGGGAAAAGCTCTGCTAACCCAGGGAGACCACAGATAAGGGAAACAGAAGACTTCTGGAAGCTCTATGTTTTCCCTCCCAGCCAGAGATCTCTATTATTACTTCTATCCAGAAGAGTTTTGCACCTTCACCAACACCCCCACCCCAATGCACCCTTCCTGGGATGGCTGGTAAGATCAGGCCAAGCTTTTGTTATTAAATCCCAGGTCTATACTACTTTGCCTGACTAGATGCTTCTCATTACTTAGCCAGTGCATTGCCCTGCCTGTGGTACACCTAGGACCTCCCTTGATCTGAGCTGTCCTCCTCTCATCGTGAAGCTAAAACAGCAGACAAGTTGTGTGCATATAACCTCCAGAGTCCTAGCCAGAGCCTGACCCTCACCCTGTCCTAAGAATGCTGAGAGGTTCAAGTGAGCCAAAGCAGAATCAGTGTAAGTCCCATAACAAGAGCTAAAGGATATACTGAAGAGCCTGGCCTGAGCCTGGGAAACCCTCACTCCTAGTGAAGGAGAGTGGGAACTCCAGACAGACTGGCTCAATAGCAGTTCACAAAGGGCTTGAGTCCTAGATGGCCTGGAAGGACACTATTCTACTTCCAGCACCTCATGACTAGCCAGAACTAAAGCCGAGAAGAGACCCAGTTCCTTCCATAACCAGGCACCCCCACAGCCAATGCCCCAACCCTCCCCTCTGCCAGAGACTTGCTTGATTCTCAAGTCAGTGCCAAGGGACCTGGAGAGCAGAGACTAGAAAAACATTTTAGTCATTCTAGTTCACAGCCACAGGGAAAGCCCCCAGGCAAGTGGTTTTTTCCAAGTAACAGAGAAGGGAGTCATGTTTTATGGGGCCAAAGAAGTGTCCATTTGTGCCCCAACACTAATAGTAAACAGGACCAGCTTTAAAGGCATATGTCTCTCTCCATTGCCTTTGGCTAAATTACTTGGCCCTAATAGATGAAAATGTCAACTCACCCCTACAATATTCAGTCTAAAGGATGGAAGCAGTAAAAAAAATGAGTTGAGGTAGTCACATATCCCAACTCCTAACCTTAAAGCCCTCTATCAATCCAGCTTCTTCACAGTGACAGTGTACCAAGGCCAAAAGTATAGAGTCCTTGTGCCTGCAGGAACCATAGCTGACTCCAGCTAAGGATGAGGCTGGTTGGGAGGTCTACTCCATTTTCCAGGAACGCTTAGCCGAGTCCTTATCAAGATAAAATGGCGAGACCCAAATTAAAACCTTACTTTCTGTTTAATTTGTTTTGCCAAACAAACACAGTGAAAACTTTAGTCTAATGTACAGAAAATAGAATTTGTAACCAGTAGCAAACTTAACAGGATAAACCTAAGTCCCTGGCAAGCTGGATCTCCATCAGCAGGTCACCTAGATCCCCCTGCAGATGACCTCCTGGGGAGGAAAGTCCTAGTAGGCAGAGGCACAGATCTGCCAGAGTCCCCATCAGACTCACAGGCTGCACCTGGGAAGGAAAAGCACGAAAAGAAGAACTGATGTTACTTGGATCTCTTATTACTATATGCAGAAGAGTTGTCTCTGACTGCTGGCCAACCTTAAGGTGGTATCTTCCCAAACCCATAGTCCTTGGGCATCCCACCTGCATCCTTGGGGTGTGTGGTGGGGTAAGTTTCAAGTTCAGTAGTTCTGGAGCCTCTGCTTAGCCAGAACCTGCAACATAAAGTGGGGGTGAGTTGGGAGTGGGAGGGTTAACAAAGTTATAATTGCTGGTGTCACCAGTGCAGAGTCTGAGGTCCCAGACTTCAGGAGGAAACAAGAGAGGATGCCAGCTCACCAGCAAGAGAGTCCAGTTGCTGTAAGCCTCAGTACTATCAACCAGTGCCCCAAGAGTACGGGGTAGTTTAACAGCTGCGCCCTATGATCCCCCTAGGCTGGCTGGTTTCAGGGAGCCCCGCAGGCCGCAGGGGAACCCGTTCACATTCCGTGTTTCTTGCGGATGACAGCCATGGCCAGCAGCCGATCCTTCTCGCGTAGTTCTTCACGTAGCTTGGCCTCGGTGAGACGCAGGTGGCGGATGCTGCCCTTCATCTCCTTCATCTTCACCTCCATCAGCGCAAGGATGTCCCGCTGTTCGTTCAGCTTGCGCAGGAGCTCCTCCTCCGTGGTGCCTGACGACAACGAGTACGAGTGGTCGGAGCCAGTATCAGGGAAACCCTCTTCTCCCACTACCACCAACTGGGGGCCCATGGGGCACTCGGCAGCCTCCAGCCCCGCGGTTGCAGCCTCCAGCTCTGACGCGGCGGCGGCAGCTGCTGCGCCCTCTGCGGCCGCGAACTCCACTTGCACGGTCAGGTCAATGGGCTTCACGTCTTCGCCGGTGGCAGTGTTGGGCGCCGGCGGCACGGATCCCGTAGCCTGGCTGCTGTCTACTGCGGCCTGAAGGGTAAGGAGCACAGCCGCGGAGGCAGACACCAGGTTTGGCTGCAGCTGGGCGGTCTGGGCAGTGGAGACGGGCGGCGGCGGCGGTGGCTGTTGTTGCTGCTGCCTGCGGCGTGCGGCTGCGGCGCCCGCGGGTCTGCGCGCTACTTTGCGCTCATTGACGCCACGCAGCGGGAAGATGGTGGGGACGCGCACGGTGTAGGTCTTGCGGCCGCCCTGGAAGTGGACGCTGCAGAGACGGTGGCCCGTGGTGGGCTGGAAGGTGGAGAAGCACCCACTGACGCCCGCACGGGACACGTTCTTAAGCCAGAGGCGCCGCAGCTCAGCGTCCTTGGGAAACGTGTAGAAGTGAAGCGCCTTGTCCCGGTGCGAGTTGTTGTAGCAGCCCGGTACGCAACACGTAAAGCCAGGCATGGCTGCGCCGCGCGGCCCGACCCGGCCCACCGTCCTCCTGAGCCCTTCGACGGCCCGGTCGGTCTGCAGCCGCCCGCCCCTCGACGGGCGGCGCCGCGCGAGGCCTTGGGCTGCCTCCCACTACTGCTGCCTGGCGCGGCCGGCCTGGCCCGGCGCCCCGTGCCCAGAATACGCTTTCCGCAGGCCCGCGCCGCACCGCCCGCCCGGCTGCTCGCCTGCGCTCCGTAGTCGGCCCCGGGGACGTCGCGAAGGACCGCCTGGGAAGGAGGACTACGCCCCCCACAACGCACCGCGCCAGAAGCCTCTCACTTCCGGAGCGGGGGTGAGCTTATTCCAGCCGCTTTCCACGGCACCGGATGACCTACGCAGAGTAGATTCTTACCCGCACCTGACTTATCCTTGGGGGACCAAAGAGGCGAATTCCGTTGGAAAGCTGTCTCCTGGACTGCCCTTCACAAGGATCCGGAACCCTGATGGGGGTCGGAAGGCGCGCGCCTGTACCAGCGCGCAAGCGTCTTGGGTATCTGCTTACGTAAACTACAAGTCCCGCAATGCTTTGAGTGAACTTGGCGGCTGCAGCTTGGAGCGCCTCCTAACGGCACTTGCAGGTTGCCGCAGACCAGGTTTCGGGTGCGGCTGGGCAGCCTGCCGGAAGAGTTCCCCCTGCCCTCCGCGGATGTGAGTCGACCGAATTCCTGCGGGGGTGTTGTGGGAAACCTGGGCCTCAGCGCCCGGATAGACCCCAGGAGTCTCCTTCTCTGCGCGTGGGACTCTTCCCTTACTCAGTCACTGCTTGCGTTGACTCACTTATTGACCTAAACATAATCGCAATAGGCACCTACTGTGTTCCGGGCACAGTGCAGGATGTTGGGAACTTTGCAGAAGCCAGACCGACCCGACCTGACGACCTAGAGGAATTAGGGTACGACTTTTGGATCAGAGATGTGAATGGATTTGTAATCAGAAATAAACGCTCCAAAGGAGTGAACAGGACAAAAGAGAAAATGGGAGGCGGAGGCCCCGGAAACAAAAACGTAGAAAAGTGGGTAGAGAGGGATAGCCGATTCTTCCCTCGGCAACTATCCTGTAAGGCCCTGCGGCAGTAAAGAACAAGGCTCCGCTCTTAAAGATCCTAGAAGGGGGCGACCAGTGTAGCAGAAGCACGGAAAGATGCCAAACTGGACCAAGTTAAAAGATTTGGGATTTTA